ACCCAGTTGCATCATTCCTCCAAGAGGGCTGCTGTAAACAGAATAACGAACGACTGTCAAAACCGTGTGGCTTAAGACCTCCCTTTGTCCAGTCTTAATTTCTCCGCGCCACTGTCTGTTTAATTCTTGCAGCTTGCTATACCGCACAACGATGAGTGGACCCGATTTGCCCGGACTCTGGTGGAAATCCGTGCCAACAGAGCAGACAGCGAAGAAGAAGGAACCATGGAGATCTCTGCCTAGAAGAGAGAAAGGTGTCCTTCCCTTTATAGCCACCTGCCCTCTGTTGATTGCAGTCATGTTCCGTGTCAAGTCAGTATTGTTGTGGCTTTCCATGCCAGTGTTGCTGCCAGCTTTCCCCAGGGTTCCGATTTCTCCATATTAATCGCGTTGTGCTTCAAGCCGTCTGAAAATATCCAGAGCGTTTTCATGCTTCATATTTCTTTTTGAGACGTTTACGAATGAGAGGACAAATCAAGCCGAAGCGGGTTCAGTTGTTGCCTTTTAAATCCTTTAGTAGCTGCAGTAACTAGCTAGGAACTCCTGAATAAACTTGGGCTCACGTGCGTTTCTGGCACAGTCCTATTAAATCCATATGAAGTCAGATATGATTGGGTACAGATGTGGTGCGCTTCGCAACATGGGACTGGGCCAGAGACTTTTAGATGTGGTGTTTCACATGGTGACTTACATTATGAATGGATGTACTATACGAACATTGCTGCTCCTTATTTATTGCGGTGTGCTGCATGGAACATATTTATTTGAAAGCATTAAAATAAACGATCCCAAAGCATGTGCATAACGAGCAAACTGCATTGTCTCTGCATGCCTGTTGGGGTTATGTCGAGTCCCAAACAACTATTACTAGATGTCACTTTTTACTAAAATGAAATCTGTAAAAGGGTTTGGTTGAATAAACAGAACTTTCTAAAATCGCCTATTAATCCTAGATACTTTAGCAATATTTCATGTGCAGTTGGTCCCCGGCACTCATTGCAGGATACCACTAATGGTCTGAATGAGGAAGTGTTGTTTCAGAAGTAGACAGAGGCAACGGCAGTAAAATGTGTCAGAGCTGTTCTGTAGCCACATTTTGTTGGTTTTCTTCTTGATAAAATTATTTCCGTTACTGGTCAGTCAGAGAATTGTAACTTCTGGGGTAGTAACATTGATTAGATGAACAGGGTTTTGTTTTTCTTGGAGTGGTAAGAGTCAATATTACTTGTTCAGATTTGCACCGGTAATACAAATGCACAAGCATAATTAATCTTACCGGCGAGATTTCTGTGGGCCATTCTGATGCTTCATATGTATAGACCCATGTGTAAATTTAAGCTCTGAGCTTCTGCAGCTTCCCAGGCACACAGGCCAATTTTCCACTGTTAGCACTCAAATTACTGCAGAATCTGTCTGTGCACTTACACGAGGTCTGACATTACTTCCTCTGTTCAGCTGCAACCATTGGGATGGTCCATTGGGAGGGCTTTGGAGTCCTGCCTGCCCATCCCGCTTCCATCAGTCCCACCCACCATGGTCAATGGTCAGGGATGGTGAAGAGCTACAAGTTTCCCATCCCTACATTAGTATCCAAATTGGACATACCTTCCTAGTCCACTGTTAAGTGATCCAAAATAAGTGTCTTTTGTCAATGGAATGGGACTGGCAGTGTCTCAAGGTGAGGGTTGTTTGGATACTGGTGAAGCTCCACGTCAGCATCTTTCATCCTAACCTGCTCAAAATGATGCAGAGTTTGGTCCAGATACTTGGCTTTACAGAGAGAGCCAAAGCAAAAAAAGCAAAACTACACATTTTGGTCCTATTGTTCACAATTCCATTTTTTTCTCTCTGCAGCCACGCATCTGCCAACTGGCACCATCCGTTTTGTCCCCGGACTTTGCCAAAATATAGTTGTTGGATTTAGCGCCCTGTATTTCCTGCAAAGTTGCAGTGCTGCCTCTTAGGCGGCAAGTAGGACTACTTTCTAAAGTACACACAGAGAGTGGTTAAAAAAGCACAATTTGTTCAAGTGCTGTTTCTGGGTTATTTGCTGTGTTTAACTTCCCCAGGGAGTTCCATAATGAAAGTATCTTGAGGTTTACTTATTTCCAAACCAGCCAGTAATTTATTATGTATAATCATTAGATTTAAAATATGTCCTTTAGCGTAAGCAGCACAGCTAAACGGCTCAAGTGACAAACCGATGCTTCCATTTCCAAAGTGCTTTTTACGCTGCTCGTTTTCCACAGTGCGGAGCCTAATCAGAACCGACGAGCCGAATGCACAGCCACACCAGTTGGGCTGTGCTCATCGGACGCGTCCAAGGAACCAACGTGGCAAAAAGGTCCTCCTTGGTGGCACATTCAGGGCACTCTTGCCCTGAAGTCTTGGTGCAGTTAAAGTGATGGCTGCTCTTATCAATAGCGCTGCAGTCCTTACCCTATCCCTATTATAGCTGACTGGCTGAGGTTAAGACAACAGGATCTTGCTTGTTAAATTTGTGGCAGAATTTGAGGTTTGAACAAGGTGGGTCGGGGAGACTGCTCAGCATTCAGCTCAAATTCTCAGCCAGGACACAACTACAGTACCCATACAAGGCACAGCAAGGCTTTATAAATTCACAGCCTGGCCTTCTTTTCATGAAGAAGTCAAGTTGGCAAAGTCCCATCTAAGCCTGCTCCCAGCCAATGCTTAGGCACCTTCTATTTGGACCTTTAAATGGCTGCTGAAAACTTATTTGTTCTGCCAGGCTTATGCAGGCAATTAAGAATAGGTAATAGTAGTACCAGATTTTAATTTTTATGTGTGTTTTTAACTATATATAGATGATATTGTAAAACATTTTGATATTTCTTATAATAGTGACCAGTGTATAAATATTTTTCTTAAAATAAATGCATGGAGTTTGGTTCTGCTGCAAACACCCGAAGCTTGTTCAACGAAGGCCCTTGCTCTTAATTGAGACGTAGAACTTTAACCAATCAGTTCTATTAAATCAATAAAAATGGCAGTATTCCGATTTTACATTTTAAGTAATAATTTGTGGAGAATTTGATCCAGTTAGTGGCTTTAGTTAACGCTTTAAAAAGATCCAAGGCAAACTTTTTTATTACTATTAAAAACCAAAGCCTACATCCATTTTATAAAAATGGGACGCGCTTTTAAAAAGCTACTGGTGGTCTCAGCATGGGAAAACAGGCCATGTGGTGGCATCCGTGACAGATGGCTTGCACTGCGAAGCCTTTCTAGGCACATGTTGCAATACTTGTTAAAAGCAAGAAAAGTGTTCAGCCCTCAATGACTTATCCTCTCTCAGCCCCCTTAACGAAGTACAGCTCCCATAATTCTTTGCAGGAAGCTGTGACTGTTTTAAAGTGGTGTCATGGCGCTTTCAATTGATGGCCTTTATGTGGCCTTAATGTTGGTCTCAGTTTCCCACTAAACTCTGCAAGGCAGCCCCACGCGCCACCCCCTCCAAAAGAAGGCAAAATATTTAATCTGGTTGTTGTTATTATTGTATTTTTGTTTTTTAAAAAAATCTGTTTTAATTCATCAAAATTATTCAGAATTTCCACACAAATATTTTTCAATTACAAGCTGGCAGTTAAGGCAGATACCATTGATACAGTGCATGGATTTTTCTATTGCATTTATTTAAACAAGCAGCAGGTTACTCTAAGTGCACCAACACAAAAAACAAGAATCCAAATATCAGCAGGGCCTGGTGTGACCCCCTTGGGCACAGCCTCCATTAGTGTCGACGAAAGCTGTGCTGGAGCCCCGAGCCAAATAGCACTGAAGAATGTATAGCTACGCCTCTCGATGGCTCGTGCCTTTTGGTGTTGAATTTTCATCTCATGTGGTACGATGCTCTTCCATAAAGTGCAGAGACTATGGAAAAAATTACATTTCTCTCCCCACCCCCAACCCCACAACCCTTCTGATACCAGGAACAGAATATAATTGCTAAACGCTCGTCGATGTGGTTTCAGTTAGAAAAACATGTTCCCCATAAAACCCTCCTAATACAATCCAGGAATGCAACTTGTGCGTGTAGTACTCATGTAAAATACAGTCACTCTTGGCAAGAGTCAGGTACGGCTCGTATCGACACCTTTTGAATCCTCCGGTACAGATGCAAATGGAATGTGTCCCCAATTCTTAGACGCACTGTCTAAATTGTTCTGCGTTGAGCACCATGATCTCTGTTGAATAGCCAACATGCAGCCATGACGACAGGACAGCCCTCCCCGAAACACACCACCCTCCCCAACAAGAAGAGCAGTTGCATACAAATGTCTTTCCCCAAATGAGCCCAAGTACATTCACGACCCCCCAGGTATGTGCAAGAAAGAACAAAAATGCATTCATGGACCCAAACCGATAAGACTACTCTAGCAAGAATTTCACAGTGATCTGATAAAAGGAAGCACAGAGACCAATGATTCACACTTAAAAGATGGGGAGCAGGTGGGAAGAAAGACTTGCAGATCAGGTGGTGCTGGGTTGAGACCGGAGAGCTAAAGGAATGAAGTATTAAGACTGATCAGATGAATGGCTCTTTCCCAACATTCTGTAAAAGGAAGTCGCTGCCTTGTGATCAGACAGGCGCTGCCTTTGAGGTAGGTGGTGAAGACCGAAATCGAGGTAAGTAAAGTCCAAATTTGTTTTCAATTCCTGCAAAAGTGGCAACGGCCAACTTGTAGCCCCCCACATGGTCGGGATTCGGTGCAGGTAGGGTGATCCTTGTTTTCAGAACGGCTTCCGATCCAGCTGGCTTCCTGGAACACATATTTTATCAAGTGTGATTATGCAGCCTTCCACCCTAAAAGTAAAGTTCTTTCCAGAGAAAAAAAGCCCCCCGCCCACAAGAGCTTGGGACAAAATGCTATTTGGTTCCGCCTCTCTCCAAACTCCCTCCTATCCGTGGCTATTCCTCCTGGTCATTGGGAACATCAGCACTCAGTCTTATGGAAGAGTTGGTACCTGGGGCTGGGGAAGGACCATAGCCAGTGGTAGTGCATCTGCTTTTTATGCAGAAGGTCCCGGGTTCCATCCCCAGCGACTCCAGGTAAGTCGATGCCCTGACTGAAACAGGGCAGACAATACTGAGCTAGATGGGAAGATTCCTATAATCTTCTTTTTTCTCTTTTGTACCGATTTCTTATGCAATCCTTTCAGACAGCAAGCCACCGTTTTATAAACTTTAGTCCGCTGACCGAGATGCTCTTTGACTACAGTTCCCATCATCCCTGGCCACTGGTCTTGCTGGCTGGGGCTGATGGAAGGTGGAGCCCAACAGCATCTGGGGTGGAGAATGTTTTACATACCTGTATAAAAATAAAGTCCTATAATCTCCAGCAGCTGCCTATAAAGCAGCACAGTAGAAGTACGTTAAAAATTACTTTGAGACTCACCCAGCAATCTGTTCAGTGCGAAATCTGTTTTGAGTGTCAGCAGAAGAGGTGAAAACATGGAAACTTAAGGTGACATGATGCATCAGTGAGGCAAGTCTTAACACTAGTGTTGAGGAGACTTCTCAATCTCATCAACAGCATTGCAGTATTAACAGCATGCCAACACCACTGTACTCTACCGTGCCAAAGGTTTCTAATGATTTTAATTTTTTTTATTGGCAGATGGAAAAATGAAAGTTTTTCTTCTGTATCTTTCACTAATGGGTTTTCCCCCTTCCCCCCTTATTCTTCTCTATTTTCTTTCTTTCTTTCTTCCTTGTTTTTTGGCTTTTGTTTTTCAGCTTTCTCCTATTTCTTTGGAGTCCTATGTCTGGGGCCTTTATTAGAGTTCATAGATTGTATACTCATGGGGGTAGTAGAGGGTTGATGGAGGACCCTGGATGATGACCAGGAAAATGCTGGTCCCCCAGGATATGAGGCTGGGGGGAGAAAGGAAAGATCCCAGGTGGGAGCTGGGAGGAGCTACTGTCCTCTGTGGGTGGTAAGGACCAGGAACTACTTTTAAGAGAGAACTTCGTTTGGAAATCAATAAAACTATGTTGTTTTGTTTTGTTTTTAAAGAAAGGACCCCGGAATTTCACTTCGTCGATTTGTATCTTCTGTAGTTGTAATTTTATTGTATTGTGGGAAAATCTTAATAAACAGTCTTTTTTAAAAACCCTACTGCACTCTGTGAATGGATCTTCCCTTTGCCATTTAACTACTCGTGTTCCTCTTCCTGTCTGCCCTCATGTACATGACAAGCACTGGTGTTAAAAAGTGTATCTCCCCTGAGCTTTAGTGACCCTTAATTCATAAAGAAAATCTGGAGCTCTTTATGACTAACTCCTATAAAGAGAGCCAAGGTGGTCAACCCAACACACTTACGTTCCTCCAAAATCAATGTAGAACCATCTCTGCAGAAGCTCGTAGGTCACTAGGGTTACTCCAAACTGTGGAGACGACCGAAATACACGGGCTGAGGGGAGGAAACCACGCCATTATTAGCCACATTAATGCATCGGGTTAACATGCATCCTTCCTTGTTAAAATGAGTGTTTGCAAAGGCTACCTGCAGCTCCTTTCCAAAATGCCCTGGGGCCTTCCTCTCGTAGGATCTTCCCGAAACAGTCAATCACTCCGCTGTAGGTCGTTTGTCCTGCACGGGCTGCCACCTGTAACCTCGTCTTGATCACATCCGCAGGCGTCACTAAGGAAGCGGCAGGCATTCCTGGAGAAAGGGAAAGCAGGGCAGAAAAGAAACCAGCTTGTTGAACTTGCTTGGAGATGGGTGAGTTGGCCTGTTAGGACCCTGGGAAGGTGCCTTATGCTCCATCTAGCTCAGGATGGTCTGTGCTGACTGGCTTACTAGCAGTACATGTGAAAAGGATCTAGGGGTCAACAGTGTGATGCAGCAGCTAAAAAAGGTTAATGCCATTCTAGGCTGCATCAACAGAAGTATAGTGTCCAGATCAAGGGAGGTCATAGTACGCTCCCTCTTTGGGGGCGTGGGTGGCACTGTGGTCTAAACCACTGAGCCTTGGGCTTGCCAATCAAAAGGTCGGCAGTTCAAATCCCCACAACGGGGTAAGCTCCCGTTCCTCAGTCCCAGCCCCTGCTAACCTAGCAGTTCGAAAGCATGCCAAAAAGTGCAAGTAGATAAATAGGTACCACTCCGGTGGAAAGGTAAACAGTGTTTCCGTGCGCTGCTCTGCTTCGCTAGAAGCGGCTTAGTCATGCTGGCCACATGACCTGGTAAAACTGTCTGCGGACAAACGGCCTGTAAAGTGATATGAGTGCCGTAACCCCAGAGTCGTTCGCAACTGGACTTAACTGTCAGGGGTCCCTTTACCCCTCGAAAACCGTGTCCAGTTCTGGGCACCACAATTTAAGGATGTTGACAAGCTGGAATGTGTGCAGAGGAGGGCAACTAGGATGATCAAGGGTCTGCATACCAAGCCTTATGAGGAATGGTTGAAGGAGCCGGGTATGTTGAGCCTGGAAAAGAGGAGACTGAAAGGAGACAAGGTAGCCATCTTCAAATATCTCAAGGGCTGTCACATGTAAGATGCAGCAAGCTTCTTTTCTCCTGCTCTGGAGGAGAGGATCTGAACCAATGGCTTCAAGTTACAAGAAAGGAGATTCCGACTAAACATACAGAAAAACTTTCTGACACTAAGAGCTGTTTAACAGTGGAACAGTCTCCCTCAAGAGGCTGTGGACTCTCCTTCCTTGTAGATTTTTAAGCAGAGGTTGGATGGCTATCTGTCATGGATGCTTTATTTTTCTTTTTAAGTTGAGTGGCAAACAGAAGTCTTCAATATGTCTGAAGCTTGCAGAGGGTCTTGAGTTCACTTTGGGAAGGTAAAAGTTAGCTCCCTTGTAGTTTCCAGCATTTGCCCCTATGTGCAGAAGACTGGAAATTTTTGCACTTTTTTGACTTCAGGGCTACATCCTGTGAGAAGTCTTGTTAAACTCAAAACAGGCAGACAGGTACAAGTTGTGCACAATGCGCCAAAATAAAATAAAAACCCAAACCCCAACTCAATAATGTTCCATGTTTTCCTTTGGGCATATGCACATTTTTCAGCGTCTAATTTCTTCAGCAAAGTCTTGTTGGAAGATTTATGCTGGCAGATAAACAACAGAAAGCAACAAATACCGAATTATCAGCAGAGAAGGGGCTACAATCCTGAAACATGCTCTCTCCATGAAGTCAAAAGGGGCACCTCGAATGATTTTAGGCCTTGGACCAGCAGTTTTTCAAACTCAGTCTAATGAAATAATCCATATTTAGATTTAAAGAAAAACAAGGGGGGGGGAGGACAAAAATAAAGCAAGACTGTATTCAAAAACAGTGTCTCTTCTTATTTTATTACTTTTCCATTTTGCGTCAGTTCCAAACCAGCTTGGTCAGATGTAGATGCATAAATCTCCTTTGCTTTTGCTATTTTTTTTTCATCTTCTTCTTCCCTCTAAAGCTTAATAATTCTGTAACAGTTTTTGTCCAAACCAATGTGGTTTGGCTCCAGAACGCCATCTCACTTTTTTTTTTTTTGTAGACTCCTTTGAAAGAGATGTAAAAGTGTGTGTTTATCACCAAAATAAGGACTGCTCCTCGTCTCTCAAAACCCATTAAAAAAGAAAGGAAAACACACTGTGCGAACATTCACATTTGAACATTTGGCAGAAGGTGGCTTTCTCGTAACATGGTCAGCGCTTCCCTTCAGCAAGTCCACGAGTCATCCATTTCACCTCCTGCTTATGAGACACAGAAGCTGGACTTTCACTCTTTAAAAATTAGCTGACTCTTGCAAAGACAGCAGCCATGCAGGCAGAAGCCCCGTCCCCGCTGTGGAGGTGGTATTTCACAGGAACAATGCCGCCATGTGAGCCTGGTCTGGCCACAAACCAGCCAGTAGTCTTGCATGCTTCCAAGGTACTCCCCCTTGGGGACATCAGCAAGTGTGAACTAGCCCTGAGCTTTGTGGTACAAGTCCCAAATAGTTTCCATCTTATGCAAATTTTTGGAATGCAACTATCTGCAAGGCTTTGAAAACTGCAAGCCAGGACTCTTCAGAAACGTCTTTTAATTGCAAAGGTCCAGGCACCCTCGGCTGAGTTAAATAGTCTAACATAGGTTGCAGAGCAGGCATTGTACAGTTGAGTAAAAACTCATGCTTCCCTGGGCACCTCTGGGAAGAAGGGCAGGATATCAATTGAATCAATACTAACAACAAAAATGACACAATCCAGAAACACTTCGGTACAGGAACCAAGAGACTGCTGTTTGTGGCAAGGAGGTGGACGGGTGAGAAAGAAGCAAAGAGAAGTTTGGAAAATTTTGGACAGTTGTCCACTTGCTCCTGAAACGTGACGTCCAAGTTAGGTGTGTATGGCACTGCTTTGCAGGGGTTCCAGTCCTACTTGGATGGTAGTTTCCAGAGGGTGATGCTTGGGGAGCGTACTTTGGCCCTGTGGAGCCTAAATGTGGGGTTCCTCAGGGTTCGATTGTATCCCCCGTGCCGTTTAATGAAACCACAGAGAGGGGTCATCTGGGGTTTTGGAGTACGTTGTCGGAAATATGCTGATGACACACAGCTCTATTCATTTACATCTGGACCTCTGAGGTGACAATGGTCTTGACTCAGTCAAGAAATTCCAGGTGAGTGCTATCCCTGGACAGACTTGGAGGGGGTTGTGCCAGTCCTCAGGCCTTGAATTCTCCAGATGCTTTGGGCTACAACTCCCATTAACTCCATTCACTCTGCCAATGGCAGAGGATGATGGAAACCTCAGTCCAAAACAAATGGAGTGATAACTACCTGTGGACTGTGCCTCCAACTTTAGCCAAGGCTTAGTATGGGGGCCTTGTGAGAAACCTACTTCTGTCCCGAATAACCAAACCTAGTTCCTGTCCCCATTTCCAGGCGAAGAATCTCTTCCCGAAAAGTCTTTGAATGCTCCCAGTCAGGGAAGTGTGATTATTATGTTTCTGCCAATATAAAGTATACATGATAAAACTTCAGTTCTTCCTATAATCCTTTACTTCCTTTTAGCCCAGTAATATCACCCTTGCTTTCGCTAGTACCTGCCACTCATTCCCACCCTCCC